CAGCTTAGGAGCAGATTTGATAAGCTGGGGCCCTCTGGGACCGGCTAGAGATGGTCTAGATAAGGAGCAACTGCCAAGTCAATGTGCAAGGGACCCAGTACAGTGGTGGCCCTTTCTGGGACCAGGTCCCTCCTCGTGCTCAGTGGAGCCCAGGCTCAGCAAGGCGCATCTGGACGGAAGGCTTCTGTGGCCCAGTGAATCTGCACTCGGAGGCTTTGCATGCTCCGTCAGGAGGTGCCTCCAACCTCCATCTCAAACTCAGAGTTCTGGCAAGTCCTGCAGAGAGCGACCCTGTCATTCTGCTTTAATTCGTGTTTCACAAATCTTTTTGTTAATACACTGTTTTGGGCACAAAGTCTATTTAGCATCCCCAGGAGCTAATGTCTGTGGCTCACACCTTAGGGAATGTTGAGGAGATTAATCCTGAAAGTCTTTCAGAGCTTTGACCTTCCATAACCACGAGTCCTCCCTGCACCCCCAGCCACCCACACACACTCTCACGATTCGACTCTCAAACCAGTGCCGCCTCCTCCCTCCACCTCCGCCCCCTCCTGTACCCTGCTGGCCCTAACACAAAAGGCCCTGAAAGAGAAGGTCTAAATCAATGGGCACCTGCCTGGCCCCTTCAAAGCACCCCAGGAAGCTGCAGTAACAGCTCAGAAATCTCCATCTGGCTCCAGAAAGTTCTCCATTCTGCAGTCTGCAGCCTGAAGCCATTTCTTTAAAGTGGCCTTTCCCAGAGGATGGTGTATGCTCCACTTACCACATCCTGGTGCCCAGCCAGGGCCCCCCAGGACACTCTCAGCCCCAGCCTGAGTACACTCCAAGCCCCCATTGTACTCTGCCCCTTGCACACTGGTTTTGTGGTAGCTTCTTGTCCAGACCATCTCTAGCCAGTCTCAGAGAACCTCAACTTACCAAATGTGCCCTAAGCAGCCCTCCGGACACTTGGGTCCTCATCACGCAAGTAGGCCTGAGAAAGGAGACCAAGTGGGGCTCTGAGCCCTCCTGAAGGTGGGGTTGAGGAGAGGGCTCAGACCTCATCCTGTCTGGGGAATCCCAGGAAAAGGGCAAGATTGGAGGGGAGGTTAGGAAGGATCAAGGGTAAGTCTGAGTAGAATCTGCATTTCCCACTTGATTTAGAGATGGGGTGGAGCCAGAGTTTTTCACTGATTCTGAGATGCAGGTTAGGGTTACGACTGGGTTGAAGAACAGGTTTAATACGGTATAATGGTAGATGTAGTGTTGAGTTAGGATTCGTGTTTGGTTTAACACAGGAGTCAGTGTTAGGGCGAGGTTCAACTTCACAGTTAATGTTGGAACTAGGAGGATGCACAGGCATTGGGGCTAAGGTCAGAACCGGCTGCTGGCTGAAGATGGCAGAAAGATGAAGTCATTGCCAACTTCCCATTTTCATAATCCCGTGTCCACTGTGCAAAACCGGGAGTCTCTCCTTAGTTGGCCATGTGCACTCAGAAGAGACACACTTGCGATAGTAGCCAATGCAATATGAATCTGCACATGCCCCAATCACCCCAGCCAGTGAAGAGCTGACTTCTGGATTAGCAAATTTGGGGATTTTCAGTTCTCCTGCCTCTTACAGGGGACTAGGAATGGAGACTAGATGAAAAGACGCCTCCACCACGGCCCACACATGCCCCCGCTCTGCCAACCAGGACTGAGGCTCACTTGGTGTTGTCAGAATCAATAGTGTGAAAGAGATCCTCGAGTTCTTTCTCACTGAGGACGCCATCTGCAAAGAAGAGCTGGAATTCCTCCAAGGACAGCTTCCCATCATCTGCAAGGAAGCAGGGAAAAGAGCTGGTGTCTGCAGAGATAAGGCTGGTGGGGCCAGTGCATGCATGGCCCCCAAATCCAGGCAATACCCTGACTGACAGAGGAATATGGCCCTGACTGCTCAGATAATCCCTGCCGTCCCAGCTAACTTCCAAACTAAAAGACAAATTCCATTTTAGATAATCCCTACCCACCCAGCTAATTCCCACACTAACCAGTAAACTCCAGTACACAGAGAATCACTGCCTCATCCAGCGAATTCCCAGACCAATGCCTGTTTACAGATAATCCTCAAACCAACAATAATGCAATAGCTAGCTTTCTTGGGCTCACCATGCACTCAACAGTTTCTATGCATTCAACAAATACAGAGTACCTGCCCCTGCCAGGGAATTTTCTCTCATTAATTTACATGGCCACCTGGAGGCAGGTGCTATATAAGATAACCCAGTGTGAGCAACTTGCCCCATGTCACACCATTGGTATGAAGTGGATCCAAAGCCCAGCAGCTGGATGAGTCACCACTCTGTAGCTTCCAAACGCCAAGTGGTCTCCCCACATCCCCATCCCCATCCCCAACCCAGCCCCTAAGCCCTGACTCTGTCAGCACTGTTCTTAGAGTACAGAACAACCCTTTCTTCTCTGCCCCAAGTTTGCCTTCTATGTGGCAAACTTCAGGTCCTTCCCTGAGGCAGCATGAGATGCCTGTCAATGGCTGGCATGATGTTCTCACTGTTACCTCCTCTCCCAGGCCACAGATGCAGCCGTCTAGATGTCAAGCCACGTGGGAAGGAGGTGCCAGGCCTGGAGGTGCCAATGCTCCGGCCAGAGGCTGTGCTTCTGAGGTGGAGCCCCACAGAGGGGCGTCCACAGCTGATGCATGCCACCTGTCCTGCCCATCGCGTCACCTTCTCCCCTCACTCGCAGTTGCTCTGGGGACACTTTTGGCCCCACCAGGAAGGTCTTGTGGGTTTGGATCAGATTGGGCCACCAGGGGAGGTGGCTTGAGCAGAACATCAGGGACTCTGGAAGGCGGTCCCCAAGCTTCCACCCTCAGCTCCTTCCACCTGGACAGACCTGCTGAGCAAATGCCAGCAAGCTCATCCCCCACCTGCCCTGCAGCCACCCCCTCCTCAAGGATCTGTTCCTCCTTAACAGAAACTATGTGAGGGGCATGGAGGTCAGGGAGAATAGGGAGCCCACGACGGTTCCTGGCCCCCAGCCTCTCTACATACACCCCTCGCATTACTTCCAGAGGATCTGCATTCAAAGCTGGGTGCTTGGGACAAGGGCCCTGCGAGTCCACATGGCACCTTCCTGTGGATTAGAAAAAGACACTCCTTTCTCTGCTGAGAGGATGAGACCAGTGTCGGTGCACGTGTTGAAAGTGGATTGTAGCCTGGATTTGAAACCCTCCACTTCCTCAGGTGCGTGCCCTTGTGCAGCGCACAACCTGCCTAATCTGACGTGGCAGACCTACTTGGGTTCAGAATGAGTCATTCTTAAACTTTAAAGGCTCTAGTGCTTCTGTCTGTGCTCCCAGCAGCTCTGCTGGAGCTCAACACAGGGTGAGAGCATAAGCTCAGGAGAGGGGGGCCTTCAGATCTTACCATGGTTTCATGCCACCACTTTTCTCTTTAACCCCATAGGGCATAAAGTATCAGAGGCTGGTAAAGAACATGAACATGTGTGCGTGGGGGGCTAGGCCCAATATCCCAAGATGCCCCCAACATCGCAGCGCAGATTTCAAAATTACAGTGGGAAGAATTTGACTTTCAAAGGAAATGCCAACAAAACCCCAATCCAATCACACATGCACAAACCAAAGACCCAAAACCTAACAACAAAAAGTCCACAGTCAGCCATGAGATAAGTGAAATCGAAGTTGTGGCTTTCTGTGTTCTGTGACAGAGAACGCCTTCCAAGTGTCTTCGGCAAGACTGAAGCTAAAACCCAGGAATCACAGCATGGAGTCAAGCCACACATGGAGTTCTTTCCACATGCTCACTCCTTTAGTCTTCATAACAAGACACAGGTAGTACTATCACTTCCGTTTTAGAGAGAGGTAAATGGAGGCACGGAGCCATTAGGGTACTTGCCTAGGTCCTACAGCTGAAGCTTGAACCCAGGCCATCTGGCTCCCAAGTCCAGGCTCTCAACCTAATCCAGGGGTAGGATCTTGTGGCGAGATCGCCACCTACCCAGCAGGGGGTGGGTGCTGGCTCAGGCACCCCCACTTTGGGTGAGGGGTAGTCACCATGGGCATGACAGGAAGGTCATAGTGAGCCCCAACCCCAGTCTCCCTCTGGCTGCCTCATCTCCCCATGTGCCTGTCGAGGTACCTTGGTCCCCCTCTGCACAGGGAGAGCAGGCAGACAGAGGCCAGCAAGGTGCCCCATCACAAAGCTTTCCGCCTTCCCTGAACGCCTGACCACCGGCCTAATGAATCCGCTAATGAGGAAAAAACATGGCCTACGCAGGCCCCCAGTCCAATTAGACAGGCCAAGCGGGTCAGCGCCGGCACTTCTGCCAGAGACCCCAAGCGGGCCTTTTGCAGGTGTCTCTGCTAATTAGCACGAACTCAGCATCTCCATGACCTTTCAAATGCCAAGAGCCTGTCAGTGGCCATGTCCCTGGGAGGGAATGCTGTCTGGCACTCAGCCCTCTGCCACCCTCTGGGTTTATGTCCCAGGATGCCAGTCAAGCCCCTCATGCTAACCTTCCCATAGGGACTAGGCATCTGCTGTCCATCTCAGCCAAACAAGTCTCTGTCACAGGAGCCACCTTGATAGGCCAGCCCTGAGCCTTTGCTCCTGTAATCTCTAAGGCCTAAGGGCAGCCTAGGGGCTCCTTTGAGTTTGCACCCCCATCCCCCACTCCTCTGAGGTATCCCATCCATCCTTCTTGTGGACACCTGAGGCAGGGCTAGCATCAGTGTTGAGTAGTCTGGTGTGTGCTTGTGTGCCTATCTGCCTCCACACCTTCACCCCCTGCAC